ATTTATATACTTTCCAATTAAAATGATATATTTTTAGAATATGAAAAAACCCATCAAATTCCATCATAAATCTCCTTAAAGATATGACGATATCTATATCGAATATCATAAGGGGTGTACGCAACACCGATCCAAGGCCCCTAAATGCTACGCCTGCCAGTATTGACGACACATGTGTCGCGCCTGCCAACGTCTCGCGCGGCTCTGAGGTGCGCGCGGCATATGGGGAAATATCCATATCCATAGACTAATTTTGAAATTCTCCTAACTCGACATATTTGATAAGTCACCATCATTCCCAATTGTCCGAATCAATGATGAATCCCAATCGAAGCATTCGATGATTTCTGCAAAAACAAGAGGAATGTGCTCTAAAGGCGACATTAGACGTGCAATTGCAAGTCAACGCATGGACACTCAAAGGTACCACTGACCAACACCTGTTGACTCCTGTGTAGCGGGGCGACGGGTGACTTCAATCCAGTCTCGCACAAAGACCCAGCTCGGCTAAACGAGTGCTTAAAGCCTGCTCAGATAAGCTGGCTTCTGCATCCTCAATCCATGTATTCCCCGGCTTATGTAGGCCGACAGCTCATCGGCGTATGCATGCAGCAACAGTGGCATCGGAAAAGTCCTGGGCGACAACAACCTGAGTGACAACGCTCCAAAGCTTCGGATGCAGTCTGGGTGTGGAGTTCTCGCAGCTATCAGCAAATCTTCAGTCAAGTGCTACATTACTGTTCAGACATCAACTCGGAAGGCTCTGACTCCAGTCTACTGCAGTCGGGCGCGGGAGCACGAAGCATTGACAATGTAGATTGCCCCGCTGCTTCCCAGGTTACCCAACCCAGGTCAGAAGATTCGGGTGTCAGGAAGCTCACCTATTTCCACAAGTTTGCCGCCTGGGACTGCAAACCAACAGGTTTCCGTAAATGGGGCGATATGTGGACTCCTCCAATATACCAGCATCCTTACAGCAAGAACCGAAGAAGGGCCACTAACTGGTTGGAACATTCAAGTAACCATAGCGAGATGGCTAGCTGAGTGCAAGGCATTTTCTTTCACGAAGATCGCCACTGCAGAGTGCAAATTCTGCTCACTGCCGAAGAGATTCATATACTGGTTCCTTAGGTTTCCATAAACATTAGCAATAATAATAATAACTTTTCATAGTAATAGTAATAATTAATAGTCTTTACCTGTACTAGTAGCAAGAATGCTCACAACTAGAATCATGAGAATCAGATGAGTTGTAGGGGATTCAGTGTGCATGAATGAAACTCAAGCTCGGCGTCCGGAATAAAGGGAGCAGTTGGTGCTCCGAGGAATTTGGTCTATGAGAATTTAGGGCATAGGAAAGGCACGATGGCAGTGGCAACAGGGCAGACGAGAACCAATCACAAATCCAGTAGATGGGGCAACCTAGATTGACCAACAACCAGTTCAAAAAGGAAACATGCCCCAAGCAGGTTCGAAAGATCCTGCAGACACAAATCTTCTTGATGCCTTTCTGTTTCCGGTACGGACCCCAACAACTTCAACGCGAATGAACTGCAGGACCATGACTCTTGAACAGCTGTTGGCCAAGCTTGTAAATTTCCAGGCTCTTGCTGGACACGTACCCGGCCAGCCTTTCGAAAACACCAGGAGATGGTTGCCAGAACTCAACATAGGGGTTTCCAAGGAATTGGGGGGCCCCCTGTTCAAAAGTCTCGAAACTGATTGTCAGGATACACTTCCTTCCTTCCTTCCACAGCACATAACCCCCAGGATACACTCTCGCTCTCTCTCTCTCTCTCTACATAAATAAATAACCTTGGGCAGAAGCCCTTGTGGCTCGAGCGTCATGGGGTGTCACTCACGTTCAGCTTGCCGTGGTCTCGGATTCAGGGATTGCTTTGTATCCTGGATAATAACCTTAGGAAAAGCTGTGCTTGCCCTTTCGGACGGAGACCTGAATTCGCTTCCCATCCCAGTTTCTTCCGAAAAAAAAATTGCAGCTTGGGTTTTCGCGCGTGTCTTTCTGTCCTGTCGGTTTCCATGCTCGCTGGGGCCGGAAAGGCAGGGTCCCCTGCAGTGCGTGCAGCTCATTGTACTTGTGGGGTTGTCAGGGCTGTTCCGGATTTTGCTGGGATTTGCTGAAGTCCACCGATGCGGCACCGAGCCCACCGGAACAGAACACTGAGATCCACCCCCGAGCAGGCAAGCATTTCCGAGAACTGCATTGCAAGCAAATTTTGCACCTCAGCTCTTCTTCGGTCCAGTCCAGCTTGTCACTGTTGCTGTTACAGTCAGGTGGTACCTGGCCACATGCAGAAACATGCTGGCTGAACATGCAGTATGCAACCTATGCCTTTGCTGTGTCACGTCTTCTTGTGTTCTCAAAGACCAACAAAGGAATACTACGGCTTCAAGGCCATGGCACACTTCGACCAATTTCTGCAACCTCATGTGGTGTAAGGCCATACAACCTGCCCAATGTTACCAAGGATTCATCCATCTTCTCCTGCAGTCCCACCAGGTCAAACATGGTGGAGAGCGTGACCAGGGATTTCTCAAGCGATTCTTCACCCAAATATCTCTCATACTCGCAGCAGGATCGCCGTAAAATCGCCAGGGACTTGGCACCTCTGAAGAGCGACTTCTGACGCTCAAACTGCTCCAACGTCCAATTGCCGGCGACATAGTCCCTGCAGAATCTAAGGAATCCACCAAAGCCTTCACGTGACGAGTAAGCCTCATGTGGATCAGTTCCGTGAGGCAGACACACAACAAGCATGGCGGTTCGGGACACGAGGGGTACCAACACTGTAGGGATAGTCGCAAAGAGCCTGAACCGCATGCGTAAGAAAGACTCTGAGCTCTGGGAAGGTTACTTGTCGAGATTGGCGGGGGCAGCTCCGAATTGACGGGAGATCAAACTAGGAAGATCCCGTGAAGCAGGCTTCGGACGAGCAGCATTGTCGTAATAATAATATGAACGGAGTCGTTCTGTGGGCTCGCGAAGGATGGTGGTGAGCCTCACGCGTTTCTGGATGAAGGTGGATGGCAACCAACTGCGAGCCCACGGGACCTGGGGTGCGGCACAACAAGCGGAAGAAATCGTTCGACATTGACCTGAAAAAACTTACACAGGAGTTCAAGAGGTTTGGGTGGTCTTTGAGAACAGAAGTACACTTTCGCTTTCGCTTTCGTTGGCGCAGAGTCGGTTCGACGCAGCCTAGAACAGAAGTACAAGGCAAATACCTTACTGAAGGTTAGTAGGTAATAGGAGTATATAGCTGATAGAAAGGGATTATATAGGGATTATATTCCCTTATTCCCTACTAACAACCAGAAAGATTCCCTCTAAAGGGTCTGTGCCCAAACGATCCGGGCGCTCTCGCAAGCAGCTCTAATCGCTTCTCGTCAGAGTAGAGGTTCCTCAAGACATCTCGAGATGCATTTTAGGTTTGGGGGTTGTGGGTTTAGGGGTTTACGGGGTTTAGGGTTTTTGTTTCGGCTCTCACACTCGCACAAGGCAGGCAAGGATTCGATCCAGGGTTTGGGGTTGAGGGCCCCAGTGCAGTTTGGGATCATGTGCCAGGGCTCCTGAGGCTTGAGAGGGACAACTGGGTGTTTCCAGAAATGGGAGTCTCCGTACACATCCCAAAAAGACTCAAGAGTCTTTTGAATCAAAGGACCTCCAAAAAACGAACCTCAAATCTAACAAGCCCCCCGAAGGAATGTAACCTTACTTCAAGTTGTCAGGATTCGCGAGTCTATGCCTATGCTCCTTGCATCAGGTCCTTGAATGTCCCGGAGCTGCGAAACTCCCTAGCCAGAGGCCCGGCGCTCTTTCTTTCGTTTTCAAGGCCTGTATTGTAATGTATTGTCATCAAAGCGTTTGTTGGGCACACAATCCTGCATAGGTCGTGCTTAGCGCATGTAGTACTACATACATGCCACGCTACATGGTTTACTGAGAATACGAAATCAGCAACATGAGACGCGATGAACAAGTGACATATGGGCAGTCTACAGCACAGATTCTACAACAAGTAACAGAATGGATGCTTCATGCATGGCACGTTGTTTGCCACGCAAACGTATACGAGGCCTGAGTGCTCTAAACTGCCAGGAAAGGCTCCGCAAATCGGACAGGTCCGAGTTCGCAACTGCCAACGTCTGTCCTGACACTGCTTCGCGAATGACATCGGTGCTGGGATGAGCCGTGCAGCTGCCTTGGTTTCGACATGAACTGATGCACCAAGTGATGGCATACATAGAGATCAACAAGTGGTCCCGGAAAAACGACAAAGTGACAAAGCGAAGAGACGACATGCAGAATAGTCAGCAGCAAGCAGAGCAAGCCAAGGCCAAGCAAGAGGTGGAAAGCCTCTGAGCAGAGCCCCGGGAAAGCCCGTTGCGCATGGCGTTGCTCATGTTAACCCTTCCTAACACAATCATGCTACAGTAGTCTGGTGATTCTGGTAGTGGGAATGAAGTTGACGATGCCGATGCCAGTCGCAAAGACTCACCAACGCTGAGCGCGGTGGTGATGCTGCTCATCACTGATGATGGTGATGATGATGGTGTTGATGTTGGTGCCGGTGGTGGCGTACATGTCACATGCGGTTGTCTGTGTGCGGTGGCGGTCTCTGCGACCGGTTACATGGTTGGCGGTGCGAGGACGGAGGTGACATTGATGGGTTTGCACTGATGGTGCTACCTAGAAACCATTGATGCCGATTGCTTCCTGAAGCTGGTAACAATTCTAACTCCGACAAGCCCGTTATCGCAGAATGCATGGGCTTGGCAGACTTGCATGCAAGGCAGAACCTCAAGTCTAGCGATTGCTAGCTCTCGTGACTTGCGTAACAAGCACCAAACGAATACCGCAATTCTACGCAAAACAGCTGACAGTTGCAATAGCTAATGGGATGACCTAACCAATCACCTCCTCTGAGCTGCGGGGGCGGGGATCCTGGCAGAATGGGACAGCTGCCCAGGAATCGCTTTGGCCTTTGCAGCTTGCAGCTTCGGGAGAATTCGGCCCTGCTTTCTGCCTCGGTTCAAGCGCAAAGGGCAATGGTTAAATTAAAGTTCACGGGCTATTGGTTGCAATCAGACCTCGTTCTGATTATTGCGTAGGCTTTGTAACCTCCGGCTAGAAATACCTTCAGCAGCTCAACTTGAATGCGCGGAAGCAGGAGTGATGTCTTTCAAGTTGCTCACAAACCCAGTCCGGATTCCCGCAGAGCGAGCTGCAGTCGTAATACTCACCTTGTGGGTTCGAGGCTTTCGTCACAGCTTTACTGGTGTTGCGAGAGATCTTTCTGCTACTACGTGGAAACCCTGCAAGCCAACGAATCCCAAATGCTAAATGAGCAAAAAGCTTCGCATCACTGTGGCTTGAAAGTATATCTGGCACGACGGAAACTTGATGCACCCCTTCTTGGATTTCTTGGCTTGATCTGTGCGATATGTGCGATCCAGTAGCCGATCATCCTGAGGAGGTAGAGTTGCCACGTGGTGCCTGCCACCTTGTGAAATTTCACGAACCTCAGCAGCACGCACATGCTGATGCTGGAAAGCGTGGAAATCTTACCCGTTCACAATGCAAGAACACAAACTTGCAGATGTTGACTTGGCTTCCAGGTTTTGGGTTTACTCATCCACTTCGGGTGCCCTGGGCTCAGTGTGCAAAGGGATGTTTCAGCCAAGGGACAGGGAGTGCATGTCCGTGTCAACCTGCACCACTTCGCTGGAACCATCCTCCAGCCTGAAGCCGTCAACGTGCAACGGGATGAGGGTTCCACAAACCAAAAGGCCCTGACGCGGTTGCAGCCGCCGCAGCGCAGCTTTTGCGCAACGTTGAAAGAACCCCTCACCATTTCCGGCAGCTACGGAGGCCACATCTTGCAGCTATGCCAGTGGCCTCAAGGCGTGCTGCAAGAACACGACATCCGAGCGCAGCTCCGTCCTTGGTTAGGTAGGGTCTGGTATCTTGACAAGAGCATGATCGGAAGGCCCCTTACAGCCATTGCTTCTACTGTCTTCTTCTATCTTATTCAATCTTCCAGGGGAGGCCTCCAAGGTAAAGCTGCAGCAGGCACGTGCAAAGCGACAGAATACGTCTTACGGGGCGGTGTCAACAACACTCCGAACCTTTCCCATCTCGCCAACGGTGCCAGCTTACCCTATGCCTTCAACATGTCCCCTGGTGATTCGTAGAATGCAGCCTGTGTTACAGCATCAGGTGCAAGCTCTGTGTGCGCGTTAACATTTTGACTGATGGCTTCGCTTTTGTACTTGAGGCAGCTATCGGCTTGCAGCTTTGTCGTGCAAAGACATTCATGTGCATTCGCTATCACGGCGAGACTTCCCCAAGCTGATCCTGAAGCTGTCGTGCGAAAGGCTTTTGCACGGTCTGATTATTCATGGCAAGTGGCTCCTCGTGGCCTTGCCCAAGAGCAGTTCGCAGCGAGGCGCCCAGCAGCGTGAAAAGCAAAATAGCCATGAAAGTTCGGTTTTCGGTTGCCTTTCTTTAGTTGTGCCTGTCTTTAGTCGTTAAGTGCTTGAGGCAAAGATGGCATGGCCACGGCGGTGCGTACCCATGTGGGCTTAGGAGTTAAACATTTCGAGATAAGTTCCCTTACTAAGCCTTACTACATCCCGTTAAGCCTGAGAAGCCAGGACGCGCAGAGGGACTGGGAGATTGATTGAGTGTTGGGTCCCTTAGTCTGTGCAATATCTCTCTTCTACATTACGCGCTCACACCGGAAGTGGGCAATCAGCTTGGGCATCGCAAAAACGACGTGCGTCAGAGAGGGCCGAGGGATTGCGCAATCCCCTCAGAGGACGGGGATCGGACTTAATGGAAATGATGCCTAGGCAAACGGGCTAGGGTTAGGGCTCGGGGAGTAAGAATGACTCTGGCTGAAACTCTTCCTTGTGGGTGAGGGCTTACTGATGCCTCTTATTGTTTGACACGTTCGGCCTGTCGATTGCCGAAAACGTTGGGAGCTTCCGAAACGTTGGGAGCAACTGCTCTGAAAGCACATGCCCCGAAGCACTGAACACTGAATGGTGGACTGCTTGGTGTCGTGCCCGACATAAGACCAAACCTACCAAGACGATGATGCAAAAACAGCCCAGAGTTGAAACACGGAACCTCTTGCTGCCTGCGCAAAGATCGATACTTTTTCCAGGGAGCCGGCCACAAGGCATGTTTGCTGCTGCCAACATCGGTGAAGTCACGCCTCATGCGCAAAGCCGTTGGAATACAATCCAGGCCGTTGAGACCTCTCTTCCCTGTTCTCTCTCTGTCCGGGTTCTCGCTCCTCTTCGTCTCGCTCTCGCTGTCGCTGTGTCTCTCCCGCTGTCCCTCGCTCATTTCCTGATCGCTGTCTGTACTGTTTTCTTCATTTCTGTCTTTCTTTCCGTGATGATGGTTTCGTTGTACTTTTTGATTTTTCGTTTTGTCTCTAATCCTTGGACCTTTCCTTCCCACCTTCATTTGCTCGTTTCTTTCGTTCCTGTGTTTTCTCAACCCCTCTCAAATTTGGTGCAAGTACTTTCGCAAACATAACAACATATATGAATAGCTTCCCGGACAAGAAATGCGCCACATGCACAACCAGCAAGAGTAATGAGGTGGGCCTTGCATCCTTCCGGCTTCTGCAATCTGGACGAGAGCACCGAAGGTATGCATAAACTGGTGGGGCATGTGTTCGAAGATCCTCTTGAGTCCCATTTTGTGTCCAACGACCATGTTGCCGTCCCAACCCCGGATTTGCAGCTCTTAGGTCAGCATACTTGTTCCAAGTTCAGCAGACATGTCTCACTTGCGGCCTTGCAGCAGGAGCAAACAAAACATCTGTGCTTCGTCACAGCCCCCTATCGAAAAGCTCACGTGGAACGCAGAGCAGGACCATGACCACCACGACCTCAGCCATAAGCGTGCTACACCTCTTTGATGCCAAGCGTGAAATGAGAATTACGGAGCAAGCTCAATACTAGGTCACTAAACTGGGGCTGCTCCCCCCAAAAAAGCCGAAAGCCATGCACTAAAGGAGCAACACAATCTGGACAGAAGATCTTTGCCCTCTCAACGTGCTACTCCGGGTGTCAGAGCACCTTGATCAATGTTACAGCAGCAGAGACAAAGAAGGCCACGGCAGCACAACATGTCCTCTGCATGCAAAGGTTGAAATCGAATGACCCCACTGTGAGTGTGGGGAAAAATAAGCCAAGGCAGCCAGGGTGCATAGAGGACAGCTCCGAAGAGGAAGGGTGCCTTCCAGGAAGCACCATAACCAGGTCGACTGGTTCAGAGTTTCTTAGGTCTGCTTGTGTTCGAAGTGTGTTCGCAGTTTGCAAAGTCCAGGACCCTGTGTTTGAAAGTCAGCTAGAGAAGCTAGAGTGCACTTCAGATTCCGCCACTTTACCCACATGTGAAAGAACAGCATGATGGCAGGCTCAAGAGGACCTGTGATCCCAGCAAATTCGTCAGAACTTGCATGTAGCTTGCGCTTAGCGCCCTGGGAATGACGTGACCAGTGATGCCCAACAAATATTCAGACCCCATGAGACCCCGTAAAGCGTTGTTGGAGGCTTGTGTCCGAAGACAAAGAGCTCCAAGCTGCTACTTGTGCCTCAACATCAAGCAGCTGATAACGCCGAGATTCAGCAGTTTTCGACCTTTCGGATGAAACTTCTACGTCAAAGTTCCACCGCATGGGTTGAATACTTTGACCATCGTACCTGCTGCCTTAAGACCCACTACCCTTCGCATCAGCTTTGCACTACAACCTCAAAACACCCATCTCTGTAGCTGGACGCCTCTGGATGAATTCGACCGCCAACAGGCAGGTGGAGAGAGGACGACAGGATGCCTCTGCAGGACCAGCAGCGGTTTCCCTTGATGCTTTTAACTTGGCGTTGTGCGGAATGTTCTTGAACTGATCTAACTTTGGGGAGCTTGTCGTGTTTCCGTTTGAGCTACTTTCTCAGCAACAAGCTCTAACTTTGTGATGGGCAACACGGAAGTCAGACACGAGCGGACCGTCACAGGTATGGCAGCAATGGAAACATGACATGAGCAGAATGCTTACACACAATCTTATGTGAATGCGTGCCCATCACAAAACTGAGATGATAGACTGCGTGCAACGCCCTGATCGTTGCTTTCCTTGCCGAACTCCGTCTTCACAACCCTGGCTACTATATTGAAACCCTGAACTATGAAAGCCACGTCCCAAAATGCGTAGTCCTCAAAGGGATAACTCGACCACTTAGCCTATAGACCGTCCTGGCCTTCGAATGCTGGATCGCCAGCCATTGTCATCAACGACACTATCGCCTCCACCCGGCGAAACAGGTTTTTTCCCCTTTCGCTCCCGCATAGCTGGGTTTCGGGTTTAGGGTTTAGGGGGTTCAGGCTTCAGGAGGCTTTCTTCCAGCCACCTGTCCCATCAACCCGCAGCTCTCGGGCTCTTCACCCCTTTCGAGGCACACCTTTTGAGACATGGGGGTTTACGATACTGGGGGTACCTTCTTTGGGGGCCTTATTATCAAGGGGATGCTACTTTTTGGGGTCTATTATTCGGGTCCCCTATTTGCGTAAACCCCCACATCCACCGAAGGCGAGCAAAGCAAGAGAGGAGCACACTTCGGCGGTCTCCTGCACGGAGCCTTTCATGGCACAGGCTACGGGGGGCAACCGAAGGAGGACAGGGAACAAAACAGTCAACCCCAACAGAAGCCCTTGATCCCCTGGACCAACCAACAACAAACCAACCCAAAACACCAAGCACCCTTCTTTCACTAGGCGCATGGCCCGATCTTGAGCCAAAAAATAGTACCGGGTACATTGACCCTTTATCCTTCTACACCAACTCTTTTCTTCAATACAAACTGCAGCTCCGCACTCCCCCTGTCCTAGGATTTCCTAGGACACAAACTGGAGGTGCAGACCTTTGGCCAAAAACTGCCATTAAGGCAGCAGCCAGCTGCTTGGAATGCAAGTTGTGGTTTTACGTCATCCAGGACGAATTTATAGCACATTGGCTAAACACCCTTCACCATAGAGAATCTTTTTACCACCATGATTCTCTTGTCATTGAAGACCCTCAGCCTTCTTCACCACGAACCGTGGTCTTCGCTACGCAAAAAGCTGTACACTCTCTACTATCAGGGATTTCCATACCCTTAATAGTAACCACCACACTTCCAGCACATTGGCCGTTCCAGCGCACTTGTCTCCAGAAAGAGAAAAACCCATTCCCTCATCAATACCATCCAGTCATCCCTTCAATCCCTTCTTTTTCTTCCGATGGGCATCGATGCTCAGGTGAAGTCGCAGCAAAACATGTTCCAAGTCCGACACTGTAAGAACAGGATCTTGTATACCCCTCTGAATTGAGGATATAAACCCCTGTGAATTCGCGTCCTGAATTGCTTGGCAGGATTGTCCCAGTTCTGCATTAACAGTGGTAGATGACTGCGCATCCACTTCAGAAGGACGGTCCTTCTCATCCGGACCTTCCACCACGACCACCTCTTCCTTCTTGGGACTTTGACTTTTCTCTTTCTTTTTCATCTTTCCCGAGACGCTTGCCTTGGTGCGCATTCTCGAAAAGGCCTTTTCCCCTCCAGATACCACCGCGTTGGATGATGATCCACCCTTCTCCATGTTAACCGGCATCTTCTTCGGCTTTGGAACCAGAAGAGTGTATGGATCCTCACTTGCAGCAGTTTTCCTCTTCTTTTTGGCCATCTTCACCTCTTCCTCAACGGCAACCTCCGTCTCCGAAGTTCCAACCACCTCCTTTTTGGCAGGATTATCCTTACTGGACTCCCTTTCTAGGGACCTCTTTTTGTTCCTTTTTGGATCTCTCTCCTCTTTCATATTGGCTCGCTGGAACCATATCCTCAACTCATCGATCCACTCTTCAACCTCCACCAGTGGAATCTCATATGACTTCACTATCTCGTGAAGTTCTAATGAAGACAGCATGCCAGTAGTCCACGTACACCATTCTGCATCTCTTTGGTCAGCGTCTCCATTGAACTTTAACAGTTTAAACACCGGATCCGCTTCCGCGCGGGCCAAATCAGATTTGCCATCCGACAGGAAAGAAATTGCCTCCATCAGCAATTCCATCATCCGGGTATCGTCGTCGTACCCCATGAAATCCTCTTCATCTTCATCATACCGTTCAGGAGAAATTTCCTTTCCTCCACTTCTTGTACCAGTACTCCTCCGCGGACCATCCCTTGGGGGCGTCCTTGGAGACCTTGGCCTCTGTTCATCCAGCGGATCACCATGCCCAAAGACACACCTGTCCCCATGACGGCATTTCCCAGACCGAGCAAACTGGATACACCTTACACCAGTTGCGTCGTGAGAGAACTTACAGTCCTCTCCAGCGTAGCAGTGTCTTCCAGCCACATAGTATTTGCACCAATACGATTGCAGCACCACATCATCATTGGAATGAATAAACTTGCAGTCCTCTCCAAATTTGCAGCGATTGTTCCCTTTTGCGAACCAATAACAGATACCTTGCCTCCTTTTCGACAAGCGTTCTGCTTCCAGACGATCCATGGAACAATTCCGCCCTACATGGACATTGCCACGATCTGGAGGACTACCTTTTTCACCCAAGGTGCTATCAATGTTTGATGCATCAAGAACAGCTGGAAAACCTGGTCTTGGTCCTATCACCTTCATGATTGGTTTCCCACCAGCTCCTGAGCCATTCTGAGATGATCCAAAAACATTGAACGCTTTCAAGAAGGCCTTTCTAGTGCCGATCTTCCGCACCTTTTTGATTGGATGTTTCATTGCTCCAACCTTGGATCCAGGTAGATTTGAACGACACAACCTCCTATACCCAGCTCTATATCCCTTTTTCCAAAGAGCCATAAGAATTCTAGAGGCAGTAACATTCTCCACCTCTACCCTCTCGGACTGTCCCTCACTTTCCGGAACAAACCCATTCAACCCATCCATATCTGAAGACCTTTCCATCTTTTTTGACATCACTTCGTCGAGATAATCTTCAGAGATCCAGGGTAAATTCCTCTTAGAGGAAAAATCGTCACCATTGTCCGGTCCTTCACCAGGATACCCCTTCGTGCTGTCAAAGATCCTACTCGTAGTGCGGTCCTGCATAGAGAAATCCCAGTTGGAAGCAACACGAGAATACACCGACCACAAGAACATTCTGGTGCCAGCCAATCTTGATGAACCACTGGATGTCTCCTCTTCTGGAGAAACTTCTGGCGCTTTGCCATCACTTCCAGTGTCACCAATTGTCTCGCTTCCTTCATCTTCGATGGGAATAGGGGATTCATTGATCCCTTGCTCAAATACCGCATCTTGCTGTTCGGGGATCTCCAGCACCATCCCTGAAGGATCCACTTCCTCATCAGCATCATCGTCCATTCTTTTCCAGAGAACCTCCAATTGATCAGCACACGTCGCCGCCTGAAGGAACTCCATCATTTGGTCCCTCCCGCGCTGCCAGAGAAATTCTGAATTCACCACCAACCCTTGGCCTCCTAGGGTAAGGAACGGAGCAACCAGGTTGGCTACCCTCGCCATAAGTTCCACATGAACTTCCATGCCTGGACTGCGACTCCAATCGTAGGCTATTGCCTCCATAGCAGTTCCAAACTTTTCAGTATTTCTGAATTCCCTTTCCAGGCCAGGAGATAGCAATGCACCCATCACCGAAAGAGGATAATTTCCCACCACCGGCAAGCACGGATCTTCATGGAACGAATGATGCAAATCTCCGTAATGTCCTTGATCTCTCCTTTCAAAAAGGAGTCTCCCAGTGTTCAACTGGGCATTCAGTTCATCCACTTGAACCATTTCAGCACATATCCTCTGCGCTGCAGTCGCTATTGCCGGCCAGATAGCACGATCGGCCAAACCGCGACGCGTAACCCAAACAGTTGTTGCCGACTGAATCAGTGTACGTGGGTCATATGCCATGACCACCAATGTACCATCATCCATTCTCTGATCAGCATCGTCTTCCAGTGCCAGGTTCAAATCCTGTTCGCTTGCACCTTCAGATGACATGCTAATAACCAAATTTCGATCCATTTTATTGGACCCCTTCTGATAGTCCTTTTGCCCCACAGGCAACTTGCCGACAGCAACCTTCCAATAAATCCGATTCAGAAGGCCTTTGGTAAGCAATTGCTGATGGCCCTTCTTCACCGGAAGAACATCCAACATTTTCGTATCATCGCCACGGAGTTCATTGCTCCCACCTTCTCCTTCTTTTTGGTCAGTCTCCTCGCCAGGAATTTGTACTGCTCCTTCTAGCGCCGTCTCCTGTCCAGCCACATCTTGCCCAGGTAGAACTTGAGCGCTTTCAGATACATTCACCTGTCCAGCAACACCTTGCCCAGGTAAAACCTCATCTGTGGAGCCCACCGCCAGCGAACCAACTATAACTGAGCCATCCCTTGCTCTTTTTTGAGACTGCTCAGTTGGACGAGAAGGTTGTGGTAGCGAAAAAACTTGAGAAGTCACTTCTTGGCGGGTCTCCCCCCGCGACGCTTTGTCGCGCTCTTCGCCAAGGTGAACCGATTTTTTCTGCCCATCATTGGAGCTTGAAGAACCAGTAAGTGGAACATTGCCACGTGTCACAGTTCTTTTTGAATCCCTTTCTCGCAAAAGATTTCCCGCAGGTGTCCTGCGCTGTTGGTTTCTTCCTCGCTTGAATCACCTGAGGAATCAGCATAGGAGACCAGAACCCCTGTCTGATCATCATCATCCACCAAATCTGCCCACGCTCGGCTGAATGGGTACGACAAACCACCACGAGGCTTTACTGGTTCCAGCGGCTTCGGCTTTTCCACCACTTCCGCCGGCTGCACACGCCGTTGTGAGCGAGAGCGTGGTACCAGTCGCACCTGTTTTTTATCCAGCAAGGGCTTTCCCCTTCTAACAGGGTTCGATCTTGACCTACCCACCTTTGTTGGCGGATTCACCGGTGGCATTCCAACTCCCACCAATCGCAACTTCTGCACGCACAGCGGGGACCTCTGCGCAAGCGTCCAAGAGTCATGGTACTTGCCTGTGTCGAAAATCTCTCGATAAGACCCTCGTGGCATTTCCTTTGTACCAGGACCTTCAGCTTCACGCACTTGAGAGATAGTTCTCACCCCACCTCTTCCAGCTTCACGGCTTCCAGAAGATTGCTGCACGCGTACCGATGCATTGGTAGAAACAGCCATACCCGGCGACATTGGCCGGTAATGGACACCGCCCACCAATTGCAGAATTTTGCAGGCTGTCACCTTGCTAACCCCTTTTTCCACCAAATCCTCCACGAAGATGTACTCTTGTAGCTCTTGGACAGTGGTCACACCAAGCTTGATCATCACTTCACTTACGTGAGGCGTATACACCCACAAGTGTTGGTTGCGAGCCATCCAATTTTCTATTGGCTCTTCTGGATTCTGAAGACGTACAGTGGTAGACTCTGCCACCGAATCCTTTTGTACATCTCCATCTGTTCCATCCAGCGTATCAACCTCACCTGCTTTCTTTGACACATTGGTCATTTGCAACGCTTGTGGTGCTGAGGAGGATGAAGATTCAGCTCCCCCACTTGCAGGTGGCTGAAAAGTACTCCTGTCCGAAATCTCCAATCCTCTCTCTCTTTCAAACCGGACCTGATTGGCCACATGTACCAAGTGTTTCAGGTGCGCCAGCCGCTCATCTGTCATCTCGTCGTGGGAAAATCTGCAAGAATTGAACCGCTTACGGCAATGTCCTCTGAGGTAATAATCGAAACAGCAATGGTGGAACCCCGCGTCCCGTAGTGCCTTCCTGGAAGCATTGTCCCAAGCTTTGCCGGGTTCCCAAGTCCCTTCCAATGCTACTTCATCGTCGTGAAGATACCTGCATGAACTCCCATACTTACAACCACCTTGATTGTAATACAGACACAGCCGACTTTTTGGCTCACCCAACGTAGGTTCACCCTTTGATGCACCTTTGCCAAAGTTGTACTTGGCCCTGAAGGCTGAATCCTCCCGCTCCTGCTGTGCCTCATCCACTGTGCCTTCCTCTGTAGGAGGGTCACCAATGTTCCCATCCTCATCTCCAGCTTTTTGGCTGTTCTTTGGCTCAGTTGGTCCACCTCCTGGCCAACCTTCACCATAACGACGATGTTCATAGGAACACTCATCTCCATTGCGACACCTTCCCAGATTGAAGAACTTGCACAGCTTGCTGTATCCTGGTGACACAGTTTTTGGAGTCATGTGAGCCTTTTTTTCCTGATCTGGATCCATGTAGGCTTCCATTGGCCTGTTTTCCCGCTTACTCATCACTTCGATTGCACCATCAAGCTCCTGCAAAAACCGCTTGGTATCCAGCCACAGCTCGTTCCAAAGTTCATCTTTACCCTGGCTTAGCAACATTGCCACCGTTTCACCCACGACTGGTCCACTAAATCTCCTTTTCTTGCGTGCCAGTTCGTAGAGCGCGTTGTGGTACTGCTTCCGGGAAAAGGTGATTGTTTTTTCCAAACCTGCACATTCTGTACCATCGGGCTTCCAACCATCACTTTGCAAGATGCTGTATGCACGCCGAGCCTCAGTGTTCAGGAATGCATGATCTGCGACGCACTCCACAATCTCGTCTATTGGACGACTCAGCAACATCCCAGTGATTTTGCCCACATAGGCCTTATCCACTGTTTCATCTTCCAGAAGATTTCTATAGATCTTTTCTCCATAGAGCTGCTTCTGCACAGCTTCCTCTTGTTCTTTAGAGGATATTCCTGGATCGGCAAACCACTCGCGGGACTGCCGTTCTTCCGACTTCCAGTCCCATTGACCGTCGGAACCTTGGTACCATTGACCAGCGTGCCATGAGCCTGTCCACCATGGTCCCCAGCCGCTGTCTTTCCATTTGCGCAGCGTCGAAGAGGAGTCCTCCTCATCCTCCTCCAAAACCAGGAAGGTGTCCAAGATCACGGTACCATCATCATCCACCCTTTCCACTGTTCCATTGACAGTGTCACCAATTTTGAAAGGATGTGTATCTTTCCCTTCCGCAGGAATTAATACATCTATATCGCCATGGTCCAAAAAAGCTCCATGTACATTGATGCAGCGCACTAGACCATTGATCCGATCTCCCTTTTGGTAGAAATGCTTCCCAGGTGTATCCAAGGCTCCCTCTTTGGGCACTTTCTTCGTTGGTTCTTCAGAAACCGGAATTGTTTCTTCGGCTCCCGGAACGTCCCTTGTTTCCACCTTGGGGGCAAGCTGCTTGTCCTGCTCCACGAGTCCCACAAGCTCATCCACCTTGTGCTCCTGGAGCTCAGGACCATCCTCTTTTCCAGCCAATGGCTTTGCCTCATCTGTTACAGCTCGCTCGGTGTCGACTTCCGGCAAGCTTTCAGATGGCAATACTTCCCCCTTCCTGGGAGTGGACCCACCATTGGAGTCCTTTTTCAAACCTTCTGCAGCAGGCAAATTTTCTTCCACTACAGGGCTGTTGGATTGGTCATCCGCGGTAGGCACATTTTCTTCCACCGCAGGCTCCTTTGGCTCCATGGTTTCCAAAAGAGAATCACCACTGTCGTTGACCACAGCTGCCACATTGGCTCCGGTGTAGCCTTTGCCATTCCGTTCCTCGCTGCTAACTTCAGGCTGCACCAGTGCGTCCACCTGTGAACCTCCGTCGTCAGCTGCTACGGAGACCTGCGCCCCATTGTTGCAGTCATCCGCGGAACGTGACACCATATGCGCCTCAACCCGTGCTTTTTCTGCACTCCAGGTACTATCTGGCACATTGACCCGCGCTTCATTGGCGCTCCAGGCCTCATCTTCCCGATCAACCGTGTCTCCAGCAGTTTCAGAAGCTTCCTTTTTCCCTTGAATGGCAGAATTCTTGGCACCAAACGAAGAGACCTCCTCAGTCGTAACGCACGATTTTTTCCCTCCGTCATCCAAATCTCCAGGACCATCTTCCTGAACGACAGGTACCACATCCACCACTCGCTCTTCTGCAGCCGACACAGTTCTAACCTCCGCATTGGGCATTTTGTCCTCCGGACCCACCGATTCCACCGCTGCCACACCCTCAGAAAGCGCTTCCGTTTCTTCCCGATCCAGATGTTCTCCAGCGATGTTTGCTTGGTTTCCAGAAATTCCTTCCTCTTCAGGAGAACCCGAGGTCTGGGCGTCACCACCACCCCTAAGACCGCTATCCCCAATAGTAGAGGAAAAATCCTTTTCACCTACACTATTTACACCGCTGTTCACACTGTCCAAGCTACCCTGTTGTGCCCTAAAAGACTCAGTAGGCGACGAGGACGAGGTAGTACCCAGTGCTGGCTCATCTTCCACAGGGACAATGCCCATTCCAACACCTGACACCTCACTATTTCCAGCCATTCCAGTCTTCTTAGGCAACACCCATTGGGTATCTCCAGTGTCTAGACAGTAAAGATATTCTCTTCCATCATCATGAAAATGGCGCTCCCACGTCTTCCCATCACAGTCGATGATTGAAAAGTCAGCAGCCTGAGACAATTTGCCTCCCCCAGCAGCATCTAAGTCTTCCTCTGACTCCTGCCGTATTCTCGCTGCTTCCAATTCCAGGATTTCTCCTTCACTCATCACCGTAGCAACAGGAACGACTCCTTCTGCGTCCCCAGTAAAGAGGATACTGCTTTTTGTCGCAGCAACAGGCGCAGTTTCCTCCGCTTCACCTGTCGACAGATCACCACTTTCAGTCGCGAAGCTCACTTTATTGCGAGCTCGCTTGGGAACAGGGATAACATCCCCAACCAGCTCTGTCTGGCACTCTCGCTCCACCATCTTCGATGTAGAGGAGCTTGTTTTTGACGCTCCCGTTGATTCAGCAGGTTCCGCAGCTCGAAGACAAAGCCCATGTTTGCTCAGAAGGCGTAGCAAAGCTACTTCCATCTGGTCTTCCAGTCCTTCCACCACCGGCTTCTCTTCGCCACGCTTACCACCAGCATCAACCAGAGCTTCCGCATTGGGAACCACTTTTTGACCCGTTGCAGACCTTTTGACACCACCTTCACCTTGATCGCCCACATTGGAGCTTGATGATGCCGTACCAGTCTGTAACCAATTGGTGGCCATTGCTTCAAGCTACCACCCTAAAGCCAAAACACAAAACGCAGGGAACCTAACTTGGGCTCATAACCTACGGGGGGCAACCGAAGGAGGACAGGGAACAAAACAGTCAACCCCAACAGAAGCCCTTGATCCCCTGGACCAACCAACAACAAACCAACCCAAAACACCAAGCACCCTTCTTTCACTAGGCGCATGGCCCGATCTTGAGCCAAAAAATAGTACCGGGTACATTGACCCTTTATCCTTCTACACCAACTCTTTTCTTCAATACAAACTGCAGCTCCGCACAGGCTGTGCAAGACCTGGTGAGTAGAACCCATAGAACCCAAAAGCCAGAAGCACCTTACAATGATCGTGAACCAACTTGAAGCCTGCAGGGCTCCGAGCGCTACAGCTGGTGAGAGGCCCGGCACGGTTCCCGCCACATTCCTTGCTTTTGCTTGGCATTTGGTTGGATGTGTATGAGTTTGATGGTCCAAGGCAGAATTCCAGCTTGCTCAAGTTCGCAGGTTCTGCAATCTCTGAGTGTCTCGTCTCTGCGGGGATCTACCACATATCGCAACATGTGTTTAGCTGCCCTTGACTCTTTCTCCGCATATGGCAGTTGCAGTAACTTCGAGTGACGAACCCAACTTTGTGCAAACATCAGTTTCAGAAACACCGAAGCATGTGTGTAAGGTCAACCACACTACAGTTGCCTTTAGCTTGAGCCAGGCAGGTCGCCTTGGCTGCATGTTGCTCGGGGCATTCTGTTAACGAGAGTTGCGGAACATCAAACTTGCCAGGAACTTTACACCCACTGGCTACTCTCAAGTCAATGGTTACACTGAGAACAGGGTTTTGAAAAGTTGGCAAGGCGACTCGCGACAGTGACAGTTCTAGTCCAATGCCACCCTGAGCGCCGGGCACCGGACACTCAAGTCTATCCATGCTGAGCCAGTAGCGTTGACTTATGACAGTTCATTCGAGGATCGAGAGAACCGTCTGAAAGGCGGGAAGTCCGATAGTCGAGAGGCCCCAGAAGACCTGAGCTTCAAACGCAGCTTTGGGCCGCGCGAAGGATCTCCAGGGTCAGAATTCAAGGGACTTCCTGCGTCTACATCTGAGAAAAAAAACATCCCAAAGCCTGCACTAAAAATTAATAAGGTATGGTATGCCTGCGTGTCTTCCTGCAATCTCCCACACCCTGCTCAGGATTGCATACAGGTCGGTGCATGCACGTGCGAAGCAGGTCCTGCTGGCGCTGGTGTGCTTTGACGCTCAAGGTGGAGTAATTGCAAAGAAATGAAATTGAAGCATGGGACCCAGAAAGTGACGAATGAAGCATAGGACTTCCATTTCGGACTGCACAGAACACTCGCAAGGCCAGAACATGCTCTCAAGAAACCAAGGAAGGGCAAATGCTTATAGCAGGCATTCGACTCCTTGCCACTCAAACGGAAAGTTTAGCCTCCGATCTCGGACTAAGGCGCGTTCACCAAATACTGCCAGTGAAGTGTCGGTGCCAGGGCCATGGCAATCATCAATCCTTGTAACGTTCAGGGCCAGATTGCTGGAGAATTGAAGGATCAGACTTGCCATTTAGGTTCGCAAGTGCCCGTCCCATAGGCCTCCAAAGAATTCCAGAGCAGAGCTGTTTTGGGGTTTAGTAGGGTTTAGGGTTTAGTAGGGTGTAGGGTTTAGGGTTTAGGGTTTAGGGTTTAGGTAGATCGAAAAAATGTTGCACGATGGGCATCAATTGCAAGAGGGGGGGGGGGAATGGGGGGGGGGGGGGCGGCTTGGCTTTGCTGTTCATGCCAGGGCGCCGGCTCCAGCGGACGCTGCCAGTATGAAAACACCCCGGATACCCACCTCAGAGCTCCAAATTCAAAGACTCTCTTCTTCTACCCAGCGAAGAGGGCCCCCCAAGGGGAACAAAGACTCTCTCTCTCTGCTCGCTCCTTCAGTCGCGGATCAAAGTAACAGCTTCTACAGTTGAAGCCTGCAGAGCAGACAAAAGGTGGTGAAAGAAATTGAGGCGATTCTGGGTTCGCCTAAGGCCTAAGGGAAACCACAGACAGGAAGTGCTTTGCCCAAGCCAGTCTTGGAAACGGGGCAGTACACCAAGGCCTGCATGTTCTTCGACTGTGCTGCACTTGGACGTGCTTTATTGCACAAGCTTCAAGTGGAGCATCGCTTCCAAACGCCATGTCCGTGTAAAGTCAATAAAACCAAGGTACTAAAACTAGAGTCTCTTCAGGCGCCCGCCCGGTTCTCAAGTGGCTTGAGGATGAAGAGCTGGACCAACAAGTTGCTCCTCAGCACTTCCAAGCCACCAGTGGATGATGCTGGTGATGCACACCGGTGGTAGCAGCTATCGTCGCGTCACACGGCAGCCGAATCAGTACGTGGTGCCCAGGGTCGAGGAGTCGAGGAATGAGTAAGCAGAAAGTAGCAGGCAACACGTGAGTCATCTTCAGTCAGCAGCAAGTAACAAGTAGCAGGTAGCATTCGCCATCAAGTGGCGAATAGAACGATTCAAGTGCCTAGTGGCAAGCAACAAGCCGCACTTTGACGGCAAGAAGCGGCATGAGGAAATGGAGGCAATGGAACCCCGAGAGCGAAAGCTGGTATCCTGAAACCTGCTGTGGTGGTCTCTGAGTAGGGAATGGATAGACATTGCACAAGTCCCCCAGAGGATAGCTGAGTCTCAGCGTGGCCAGGGCCACCAGTGGGGCAAAGGTCTCCATGGTGGCACCAAACTTTTCCTGAGGGGAGAAGATGCTTGTCAACATCTTCCTGCACACTAGGGTCGGGGCTTCTGCTAGCTGTTCTTGGTTTGGCAGGTTGCTGATTTCCTTCGTGGCCATGCTCTTGTTTTGAAAACCTAGGTTTACTCAGGGTGGTTTTCAGTGCCAACATCCGCGAGCACAAAGACAACAGTTGCGCAAAGGATGTTCGTGCTGAAGCCTGCGTCCTCCAGCGGAACTGCCCAAAAGATACGTAACTTCGAAAGTGGAACCGTGAACGATCTGATACTCTCCAAGAAAGTCAGAGGCACCTTGCAAAACAGGAACTGGACGCCGGTTGCTCCAGCGCTCGCAAATGTTCCTCAGAGACTTGCTCAGGGGTATGGAATGTCATCGACCTGCACATTAAACTGTCTGGTTCTTGTAAGCAACAGAAGAATGATGGTTCCCGAGACTAGCCCCTATCTAGTCCCCAGTAATGCAATATTTCCCATGCTCTTTCCATTCCTTCATTCCCTAAGGCTTGAGGATTAGCGCTGTGCACGTCGGCTGCTGCCACAAAGCCGGTACATAGCGACACTGGACTACCACGGCGATACCGAAGGCGGAAGGTAGCGGGTGCTGTCACGCTTCGCTGCACTGCTGGCTTGGGATGAAGGTTCCACTTCGCACGCCTAAAGCCTCTGCTTTAACAGCCCTTCCAAAAACAAAAACCCCTAAATCATTAGTAGTTAGTTTCCATGTCCTTTTCTATCACAAGTGCCCTATTTTTCCCCCTTAAATAACCGTCCCGCAGAAAACCGCCTCTGTGGTGCGTAGGTTAGAAGCTAGGGCTGCCTTGCTGTTGGGGGTCCTGAAGCGGGTGCTTCTTCTGGTCTGCTTTGAGGGGCCAAAGTCTTTGCGGACTGGGGTCTCTCGCCTCAAAGAAGGATGCACAATCCGCACTCAAAGGTCTTTGAGCTTACCCAAACGGTTCTGGAATTGAGTGGCTGCACAGCTCCACAGTACCTTCACTACACTTACCCCAGCCGACGTCAGCCCACGGAAGACGAATCCCAAGTCCCATTTGACAATTGATCTGAACAACGCTCCGGCCCCAACGTCATGCCCAATGCCGTTGCCAATTCGCCGATCATCCCAGACAAGATCAGCAGTCGCAAATCTTTGTCAGCAAACAGCTGAGAGATCCCTCTCCTCGGTCGAGGCCAAAAGGGTGGGGCTCAAACAGCTTGAGGTGCGGGTGTAGGCCGTGGAGTTGAATGTTAAGGGTTTAGGGCTTGGGGTGTTCTGTATACGCTGTGGCAGGGTGCCACTCCTCAGAATACGCATCTCTCTTGCTTTCGTGTCCAAGGCTTTACTAAGATCCCCAAAGCTGCGGAAACTATTTGACCAAAGCTGCGCATGGACCAGGATCTCATGTCAACACTCATATTAACGTTGAATCCCGATGAGTGCGAAAATACCCCATAAAGTTACAAGTTTTCAGGAACCCTTGGAAAAAGGGGGGGGGGGGTACCCGCACTAATCAGGCCCCATCATTAGAAGACTCTGCATGTGGTGAGTTTCAGGCTTCCAGGCTTCCAAGCTTGGGAGCCTCCGAGGTTGCAGATTACGAGGCTCTGGTTGAGCTTGTGGTGCGGGCCCGAACTGTGAAGCTTGACCAAGTTCCGCCAACAACAACCCAAAACTGCATTAAACCAGCCAGCACCCCGACGAAAGGGTCAAACTTGAGTGCAATCCGCTTGCCAGCGCTGAAAGAATGCACTTCTCCCATCGGAAAACATGCTCCTGGCTTGTAGTCGCTTCAGGGATGACCAGGACGGGCTATGGCTCCCAGATTTAAAGCTCGTTCTATTCGGCTGCTGAATGCCCTCTGTGCCTAGAGGTTTGCATTGGGGATCTGACCCATGAGCAATGAGCAAGGTCACGGAAAGCCCAAAGCTTTGGAAAGACGTCTGAGGCATTTCCTATGTCCCTGCTGAAGCCCTTGGACGAGTCAAGGATCGAAAGCCGGTGTGCATGGGATTTGGAGTGCCTATGCGTTGTATCCCTTGTTGTCCTGGCCGATGAATCCAGCATGTCCGGCGGACGAGACTCGCGCACGCCGACTTAGCTCTTCACGAACTGAGAGTACCACATGCTTGCTGGCTGTTAGTCAGGATTGAAGTAATAGAAGAGGAAATTTTAAACACCATTCATTCCCTACTAACTGCCAGAAAATTGGCGTCAGACCTGGTGGCATGCACAAGCGCGGAGCGTGACGATAAAGCTTCGTAAGGGGGGCGCACTGCCGGCTTGCCAAGCGCCATAATGTCCTTCCTGGTTTACCTTCTGTTTTCTCGATCTAGGATTTACTGCTTTTTGTCTCTGCTGATCAGGAATTACATGTTTTGTAGATGTGCGAACACATGAAGGTCTGAGACGAAGACGAAGCGACAAGATGGAACAGGAAAACACAACACCAAGATATGCCACGAAGGTAAAGAGGCAAAGACTGACGACACGACACGTTGGGCTCTCCAAAGAGGAAGTGGAAGAAGCGACACACTCGAGGAGCGGCCGAGACCGCCGAGATACTAATATGAACTTCTCGAAGTATACAAGCTCTGTGTGACATTCCTGCGTGACTTGCAAGTACCAAACCAAAAGCGTCCACGCATCTGCTAGAACTGTAGGACGTCCTGCAAGCAAAAAACAAGCCTCGAAAGTTTAGATCCTGCGGAAAACCCTAAGCCTTCCCCAATGCCCAAAACCGTTACACAACAACCTGCGAGCCCCCGCTACGTATCCCCCCAAGAAACGCGGCGTAAAACAACAGCCTCTCAGACCACAAAAGGAAAAACAATGAAACACAATGCAAATTTGAATCAAAGGCTTGCGCCCCTGCATAAGAGTAAAGAGTTCAGGAGTTCTGGCTTAGTCTGTCCAAGGTTGCACAGACCACGAAGAGATTGATGCACCGTGCAATCCCACTGTATCAAACAGCATCCACAAACACAGGCGCAAAGCCCGAAATCCACCTCGACAGGTCAAGACCTGAAACCTCACATATCGGAAGCTTGCAGCCATCCTCTGCACTTCTATGCACTTAACTCTTCGCAGAAAAGCAGCAAATCAGAACCAACAGCCCAAAGACTCGGACAAAGGCCAAGACCAAAACCTTGGATCGTTGGGCGTTGACATGTGATCGGAGTGTCCATTGTCCTGGTATCCTTGCTTTGCAACAAAAGCCTCCTGAACCGCATCTAAGCTGCCTTACTTACGCTGGCTTTTGGGTCTTGGTTTCTTGTGCATGTGCAGATACTGCTGGGTCACACTCTGTCCTTTCGTGTAGTGACGCGACAACAGCTGCTGTGCACCTTCAGCTTCAAGAAGATCACATCTGCTGTCAGCTTCTGTTCAATGCTGCGGACATTGAGGGAAAGCAAACGTAGGGCTACTGCGAAGATCTCAACAAAAACAGCATGCAATCTCTCTCCCTTGACGGTACTCATGATGGAAATGGTTAGTGTCAGGTTGGGGGGCAGGCCAGGTTGACCTGATAAAGCCTCTGCCTCATGGGCGGTTCAGCGAAGATGAGGCTGAAGGAGAAAAAGTCTGAGATTCTAGTTCAGAAGACAGTCTTTGTTGTTCGCTACAGGTCTTGGAAGATTCGAAGAGCACTACCTCAGCTTGACTGTTCGAAGTTCGCTACCCTCCAGTTCAAAGATGGCGAGACAGCTTCCACGTGACAATACCAGACAGAAGTCTGAGGCCGAGGGCAAAGTCCAGTGGACATTAACTTCATTACCGTCTAGATTCGTTCTGACAAAAGACTACCGGAAACGACGACTCGCATGCTCTTCCCCGGCAAGCGTTAGCACGGACCCTTGACATCATTAATGCTGAACCTTTGGCTTTCCAGTTTGCGCTTTATCTTGCAGACATCGACTCCCACAGTTTTTTTGCCACCCACTTAACTGACCTCTCGGACACTCTGCAGGGAAATAACTATGTGTTTAGGGTTTTCTTTGCCACCCGCACTGCACGCACCATCAGGCACCCGCTCCGCAGGGACAAGACGAGGTCACCGGAAGAAAGACGCGCAACCCTTCGGAGCGCCGAAAACCGTCGGACGGTCTGTGTCATTTACGTCCCGCGGCGCCAGCCCCACCTAGCCTCTAGCCGCAGCAAGTCTTGGATCTCCATTTGCCTCACGTCACTCTGACACAGTGACCTCAGAGGTAATGTACCACGCCAAAATGGGACACCCTTAGCCTCAAAAGCCACGCGGCCTCCAGGTCACTCGCCAGAGTCCCACTGGGTTTAGGGTTTAAGGCTTAAGGCTTAGGAACTCCGAGCAACAACCTGACATCCCCACATCCTCTCACATTGCCAATGGCAAGCTTGCCAAAAATCACTTAAGGAGAGAGACAGCAACTTTGCCATTGCGGGCCAGCACAGCAACGAAGGGAACAACAACACCTCCAGGGTTCATGGCTAGGGTTCAAAGCAGCTTAGGACGAAAGCTCCTTTGAAACAGGGGGTTGCTGTGGAGCTTTGAGGACGAAGGCTTCCATGTGAGTTCAGCATACTTGTTAAAAGGGTCCGGGATCTCTGGGGGTTTAAGTTTTCTGGGATGGCTGATCTCTTCCGCAGAGAGTCGTGGATCCTAGGGCTTCTAGGATTGTAGACTCCAGGTTAACGACCCAGGGGCGAGTCTAGGAGGCACAGAACCCGAAGACATCGGCTTCAATCGCACCCTGAGATCGACTTTGTGCAGGAGCTAACTTGTCCGCGACGACATCTACTCCCACAACGAAACGCACCAAATCTAGCCTCACAACCCCTTGACTCCAAGCCGAACCTCAACATGTTGTGTCCAACGCTCTTGCAGCCCACCGCCACTGACAATATCGCCTTCAATGTTTGTTGCCGCAGCCAGTCTTCCGAACATCTTCCCACGCTCGTTGGGCGGCGTTTGGTCAGAAATCCATAGCCTGACTTTGGTGTGGGTTTCCGAAAATGAGGACCCCTTCTTCAAGTCCTTAAAACGAGGATGTAATTAATGGGTTCGATGGTTCGACCTCCTGTTCATGGAAAGTTGCTCCCACGGAGGCGGGGGGGGCGAGGGACGAAAGTTTCAGTTTCCAAGCAAGGTGCATGTTGGGGCTCCACGCGAATCATGCAGGGCCGCGCACACCCCCTCACCCCGAACCAAAACGGCAGCAAACAGCCTCCAGCGTGCCAGTAAACAATTTCCAAGGCGCCTCAAAGACTGCCGCCTGGCGTCCCAAACAACCTCCACAGTTTCCCGAACCGGCGCCCCGGAACCGCGTCAAAAGAGACACCCTTTCATGCCCGCTTTTCGGAGACCTCCAGGACATCCCCCAAAACCCAGGTGTTGGCGGGCAATCTGTAGAGTACATGGTTCCGAGTCATGGTTCCGCTGGGGCAGAGTCATTGAACCCAAACTATGCTGTCCGTGAATGTCTTTTTCCGGGATCTCAACCGCTTTCGTATTGGGGCTGGGAGCACTGCCCGGGCTTCAAGATTGTAGTCTCAGCGTACTTGGTCACACAAATTCTTGGCCAAGGCCTTCAAACCAATCCCAACTGAGCAAAGAACCACATCAGCATGGGGATAGAGAAAATGTTCGGGATCATCGCACCCACGAAGAAGTAGTAAATGGATGTGCCAACCTCAGAAACCCGTTTGTGGTTTGGCCTTCTCTCAAAAACAGGTGCTTCGAGCGATGCTGGCACAACCATCACACCTGCACATGGTTGCCCCTCTGGCATTGGTGAAAGTACTTGCTACCATTGCACAACTAGCTGGCTATGGACTTGGGCCAGTCCAAAAGTGATACCCCTTCTGCGTTGCACTTACTGGGTCAAACAGTTGCTGGTGATCATACATGTGCTGCCACTTAACGCTCATATGGTCATCCCAAGTTTGATGACCAAGAACAATGGGACGCTTCAACAGCTGCGGCGGCTTTTGGCCAAGCCGGAGAATCTTGCCGAACGCGGCCGTCTGTAAACGACCGACGTGGAACCGAATTTGACTTGTGCTTCTGACATCCTACTGAAAAGCACAAGCGGCAGCACTACTACCCTGAGTCTCCGGCGTAGACATCGCAAATCAGCGCAATGAGAGCAACCTGTCAGGCACAGGACCATCCCACTGGCCCACCTTAAGCCCAAGAAAGGGGAAATTTCTTGGCCTGTCCAAGTCAAAGCTCATACAAACGTAGGCAATATATAGCAATGATGGCAAAGAAATTGGAAACCACCAAGGATTCTAAGGGGTTGTACAAGGGATATATAGGGGTCGTATGGGGAATTTGGAGAAGACAACGGATACGACTGATGATTGGGGGACAGGGGCGACCATTGTGCAACGATACCATGGTAATACTGCACCAGCGGTGTTGAGAGAGAACCCTGCGCTGAGGAAGTCTCGGCAGAAAGATCGGCCGCATAGTCGCCCGCTCTGCGCAACATCTTAGTATGCGTCTGAAGACTTTGTTTGAATAATATTAGTGTCCAACTTCTTTTCTGCCGAAGCAGGGTGAAAGCTTTGGTGTGGCGAAGTGCGCAGAATGGAGGTCGACAGACATCGGAAGGGTCCCCCCGTGGACGCCTACACATAGCATCCAACATACTGACGCAGCTATGGTTTCATACACTCCGCCCAATGAGCCATAGTCTGAGCTCCTAGTAGCCCCATTAGTAACCCCCATAGTACTCCCCTTTCTAACCCCCCGTGTACTATGCATAGCTCACATGCTGTTCCGCGCTCTGACTCAAGGTAATTCGTTGTTTCCACGTTCTTTTCCACTATCCCCATATGGCCCCATGTATCCCCTCATAGAACCCTACAAGGCAGGGTTTTGGTGTTGTCTGTGAGTCTTCGAAGCCATGAACCCTAAACCCTAAACCGTGCTCAGGTGCTCGCCTTTGAAGACAGACAGCCCAGGATCAGCATTGGCCGCCGGCCGTAGTGATCGGAGCAGGAACCTTTGAGAGGGAACCCATTTGTTTGTGGGGAATAAAGGGGACTTTGGGGTGCTATATAGGGAAAATCTAGGGATAATGGAAAACAAAATGGAAGCTACTATGTAGGTTTTGGTTTCAGCTAACGCCTGCAGGTTCGCCTCTATGGAGGCAAGACATTCTGCAGGTGTCTGCGGGTTTGTGGCTCTGGAACATCAGAATCCGGCAATGTCAAGGCTAGGTGCGCTTACCACATTGCGGTGCAAGGAAACTTGCAAAGGCATGAGGATGGGTAGCTTCGCGGGGTGTGCGGGTGTGCGTGTGTGGGTGTGCGGGTGTGCGGGTGTGCGGGTGCGCGGGTGCGTGGTGCGTGTGTGCGTGTGCGCGCGCGTGTGCGCGTGTGTGCGCGTGCGCGCGTGTGCGCGTGTGCGCGTGCGCGCGTGCGCGTGTTGCGTGTGCGTGTGCGGGGGTGGGGGGGTGTGGGGGTGTGGGGGTGTGTGGGTGTGTGGGTGTGTGTAGGTGTGTGTAGGTGTGTGTAGGTGTGTGTAGGTGTGTGTAGGTGTGTGTAGGTGTGTGTGTGTGTGTGTAGGTGTGTGTAGGTGTGTGTAGGTGTGTGTGTGTGTGTGTAGGTGTGTGTAGGTGTGTGTAGGTGTGTGTAGGTGTGTGTAGGTGTGTGTAGGTGTGTGTAGGTGTGTGGGTGGGTGCGTGGGGCGTGTGGGCGTGTGGGTGCGTGGGTGCGTGGGTGCGGTGGTGAAAAGATTTGAAAAGATGCACTTTTGTCTGGGCTGATGGTCCTTGCAGATTGGTGAGTGTACTATAGTTGTCCAAGCTTTGGGGTTTAACATGAAGCTTTCATACCTCCTATGGCGCATAGGAAAGCCCGCACGCACAAGCTCCTACCAATGATTTCCCTTGTGTAGTCCCCAAGTTTCAACCAACTGAGCTGGGCTGTGGAGGTGGTTGACAGATTACGGTCTGCAGGCTTCGTCGTATAGGCAGAGCACAATTGGAATTCGAAGGCCGATGCTCAGGCGCCCCCAAATCAGCCAAGCTTCCAATGAAAGGAATCACAAAGATGCTCAAGAAACCTGCTGCTGTCTGAAACCTTGGTGTGACCGCGTTTCATTCAACGACCGGCTTCAAGTAGAATGAAGCCAACATGTGGGCATGAACTGCGATGACCTTGGGCACTTTTGGAGCAGGTTTGGCAGGATCTCACTGGGCGACAGTGCGCCGCGCAGACCCATTTGCAGCAAGGGCAGGTGAACCTGAAAGGCCTACTTTTTCTGACTGAACCCATACTATCTTCTCAAACCTGGTCAGGATCTGCGCAGAATCGGCGGTTTTGAGCTTAACGCTTCAAGCTCCATGGGCGTGTTCTAGGCATCTCACTCCTATGAGGCTCTCTTCTTATTTGGTACCCGAGGCATGGCCGAACTGTGGAACTGGGTACTGGGCCATGTACTCAAAGCTCACAAAGCAGGGTTGATTTCCCACTCGCTTTTCATGTCAATTCACAAACTTGAGGTTTGAAGCTAACCCACAGGCCCCGAACTGCGACACCTTCAGAGAAGTCCCGACACGAAGCACCGGACAACATGTGAAGTCCAAGCCTCATTGCACCCACCGCTGAAGCCTTGGCGATGATCCTTCGCTGACTTAAGAACTCGTTCCAAAGAGACTGATGGGGGGGGCTGTTTGCGGGCTCCGCATTCAGAACAGCAAGAGGAGCAGATGAGGGGGCAGCAGGGCAGCGAGGGCGTCGGTGAGCGATATGAGACGGTTGCTGCGGAGGGAAGGTTGCGGGTTGCTAGGAAGGCAATGGAACTGAAGTAGATGTCCTGGGTCAGACGACTCCGTCAAGACCCACCATCAGATTATCAAATCCTGAATAACCCTAAACAACAAACAGAACTTCAAAACTAAGATCAGATCTGCCTTGACACTTCTTTCCAAGCTCCCAATCGTCCAAGTGCCCCAAAGGCTCTTCTGGCACTGGGGACTGCCTGCCCCTCCACCTGCGCAGGCATCAACACCGCCATTCAGCGATGCCACCGCTAGGTCCGGGTAGAGCAATTTGACCCTGATCAGCACGGGCGGTTGGGCGTCTGCATGTCGCTGCAGCTAGAGTCCCTGGATTCAGGCTTCCAACCCCGATCCATAACAAGGCTTCGAGTCAAGACTTCCCCTCTGTCTCAAAAAGCCTTTCTAATCGAACATCGGAGCTAAGAAAGCCAAACAAACAATCCGCTGTTGAGCCCCGATGGGCGCGGGCCTTCTTTAAAGCAACGCATACGCCTGCCCCCATGTTCTTTTTGGGAGGCCCGGCAAATTGCTTTCTGCCCCAGAAACCCGAGGCCCAGCAAGCTAGAGGAGTTGCAGGCCGTTCCTTTAAATTGCAAGGCAAGGCTCTAGTAATTTATTCATTTATTAGCTTATTAATTTATGAAGTTATTAATTCAAGTTTGTTATTGAAGTTTTGGAACCTGGTGCCCACCTGCCGCCAGAAACCATAGATTTCTTGTTCAAAGGCGTATTTGATCAGGCCAGGCAATCAAGCTGAAAGAGGAGGAGCCTCAGAAACAAATTCACTTAAATGGGGCTCAATCATGTGAAGTTTTTTGGTGGGTTTCTTCATGTGAAGTTCTTCTTGGTGGGGTTTTTCATGCGAAGCTTCTTGGCTGGGTTTTTTGGTGAGGCCATGAGACTCATGGATTTGAAGGCCAAGGCTTCCGACTAAAAAGGCCGGGCTCTTTTAGCTTGGGAAACTGGAGCCTGATGCATGATGCATCCAGAAATCAGAACGCTTGTTTGATCAGGCCACGAAATGATGTTCCAGGGGGGGGCATGTCAGCAAGACTCCCTGATCTCAATGATAAAACTTTTTTGGTAGGCCAATGTTGAGGACCACAAGTTACTGGCTGTAAAGTTGCGATGGCCAAGCCTTTAAACGAACAGAGGACCCAGCGCTTCCTCTTCTCTACGAAAGTAAGTCGTGCCAGTCCCTTCCCTTTTCTCGCCTAATTTCCCCATGATTTTCCAATGGGAAGGAAAGAACTGGTTTTGGAGTTTTCGCATTGAAGGGGATCCCCCCTCATTGTTATCTCAGACAAACACGGACCACATTTCAAAAAAGCAAAACCTGTCGTGATCCGACACTGCGTGCCTCAACCTTGAACCTGCGCAAGCACAACAATCAAGAAGGCAAAGTGACATAATGGTTGCCATGTTCTCGAACACAACAGCCTCGGGACTTTGCAGCTGCTTCCCTCATTGGGATAGTTCATCTCGTTGAATGATTTAAGACCCTGAACCCTAAACCCTAAACCCTAGACGTTGAGCAAGCTTTGGTTTTCCCAGGTAGCTTCCAGCGAGGTGGTGCAGTGCCCACAGCGGGGTGATTCCCAGAAATGTCTAACTCTTCATCTCTGACTTAAGGCAGGATGCGGAAAACTTGCATCACGCATCCGAGAACGCAAGCCGAAACAGCAGCTCAAATCTGCTCAATAATCCAGTCCGAATACGGTGTATGCCTACCTTACTGCCGACAACGGCCCCAACCTAAACCTTGGCAAGCATAGAGCTCCCAAGAAGCCACCCAGAAGGGTGCCCAGATCCTGCAGGACGGCGAGGAAAGCGGCTGGCGGGAGCGATCCCGCACGTGCAGGGGCTGGACATTGCTCTCTGAATCAAGCCCTGTCATCTTTATCCGCCGACCCCAGCCGGGGGCGGCGTCAGTGAAGACCCATTGCCCCGACCACCTACTCCACCCCATCCAAAGCTCTGGCCCATGCTCCCACTCTCCATCCCCTTGACCTACCCCTCATGGACCCAGCTCCCTACCCCTTACCCCTCACGCACCCTGCCCCGCCGCCCATGCCCCTCATGGATCCATGGGTTCTGGCCCCACGGCTCCCCTCCGCCCCTACCCCCACCACCCACGCACCCGCTCCCCGCCCATCCGCCCTTCCCGCTCCGCATACATTCCCCTTGCCCAAGCCCCCCACGCACCCCGCCATGCTTTTCATGGACCCATGGCTCCTGGTCCTATTCTTCATCCCTTGAGCTGCTCCACCCCCACCACCTACTCCACCCCATCCAAAGCTCCACTCTCCATCCTACCCCTCATGGACCCAGCTCCCTACCCCTTACCCCTCACGCACCCTGCCCCGCCGCCCATGCCCCTCATGGATCCATGGGTTCTGGCCCCACGGCTCCCCTCCGCCCCTACCCCCACCACCCACGCGCCCGCTCCCCGCCCATCCGCCCTTCCCGCTCCGCATACATTCCCCTTGCCCAAGCCCCCCACGCACCCCGCCATGCTTTTCATGGACCCATGGCTCCTGGTCCTATTCTTCATCCCTTGAGCTGCTCCACCCCCACCACCTACTCCACCCCATCCAAAGCTCCACTCTCCATCCCCTTGACCTACCCCTCATGGACCCAGCTCCCTACCCCTTACCCCTCACGCACCCTGCCCCGCCGCCCATGCCCCTCATGGATCCATGGGTTCTGGCCCCACGGCTCCCCTCCGCCCCTCACTCCCTAATCCAACACCAACCCTCACTCCCCCCTCCACAGTCACCCCCCCCCCCACCCCACCCCCACCCCCGACATTCCTTCACTCCACCCGCACCCACCCACCCCACCCCCCACTCCCACCCCGCCCCCCACCCCCTCCCACTCCCCTGTCCTCCGCCGTGGGCCTCCAATCTTCCCCCCACGCACCCCGCCATGCGCCGCTCATGGATCCATGGGTTCTGGCCGCCCCTACCCCCACCCACGCACCCGCTCCCCGCCCATCCGCCCTTCCCGCTCCGCATACATTCCCCTTGCCCAAGCCCCCCACGCACCCCGCCATGCTTTTCATGGACCCATGGCTCCTGGTCCTATTCTTCATCCCTTGAGCTGCTCCACCCCCACCACCTACTCCACCCCATCCAAAGCTCCACTCTCCATCCCCTTGACCTACCCCTCATGGACCCAGCTCCCTACCCCTTACCCCTCACGCACCCTGCCCCGCCGCCCATGCCCCTCATGGATCCATGGGTTCTGGCCCCACGGCTCCCCTCCGCCCCTCACTCCCTAATCCAACACCAACCCTGTCACTCCCCCCTCCACAGTCACCCCCCCCCCACCCCACCCCCACCCCCGACATTCCTTCACTCCACCCGCACCCACCCACCCCACCCAATCTTTAGTGTTTTAGGGGTTCCAATGCACGCCCGCCCTGGTCCCACCCCCCACCCCCTCCCCCTCCCAAACCTCGTCCCCTTACCCTTCCACGCCCCCCCCTCCTGCCTCCGCCTCTCTCACCCCC